TGATCACTAGCAAACCTCCTGAATCGCAGTCGTTAATATGAAATGCGTGTACTACGCGAATACCCTGCAACTGGAATATGGAATAGTCAGGATCAACCCAAGCCGCACGATCGGTCTTGGTTCCCTGCTAACTGAAACTTGAAACTTGTTGAGAGTCCACACAACGTACTTGTGTGTCGATGGGGCCTTAGTGGTCCTCCGCTCCGGCTCCTCAGCGCGTTCAGTAAGACAGTTTATCATCACTTAACTTTTCCACGGCAAATTGAACTCTGTTTAAATCTTAACGTCTTACGATTTTCAGTCTTCTTACGGTCTTCTTCTTAGTTCCCTTCGGACACGCATCAATGATGACGGTGCTAGTACATCTTGACTTCTTGACTTTGGTATTGGGAGGGTAGACACATCACATGCTGATGGTTTCCGCAGATCTTGCGTGTCAGTTGATAGCACCACGTCGTGTCAATCTGTGGTATGTGGATCCTGATCGTGAGTATCCACATCCAGGGCGGCTTCATCCTGGATGGCCTGCACACCTGGAACCTTGTAAATATTCCACACACCAAAGCGGCTTCATTTTGGTGGGTCATCGTAACTGGAGTCTCGTAAACACTCCACACTCGAGGCCCAACCGCGTCTTCACTTGGTCGTCCAGGGCGGACTCTTGTCAATCCGAAATGTCCTTCATCATTGTGGTTAATCCTGGTGGTCATTCGTCACACATCACTCGGCGACACATCTGGGACGCTCGTTGATACATTCGTAGTCGAAATTGGTTGTGTAACACTAGGGCGGCTCAAGTCAGGACAGGTGGCGGCCCGAGATACGTTCTGCAGGGCGCTACCTTTCTGATGTACCTATCGTCAGGGTATCGGTGACTCGGACTGAGTGGTTCACTTTATCCTGGATGTCTCCCACATCCTGGTTGGTAATTCATCCTGGGTGACCTTTCATCCTGGATGAACATTCATCCTGGATGACCACTTCCGAATCGATGGTCCCTGCCTAGAACACACACCTGCTAGCTGCATTTCCATCTTTCTCCATGTCTCACGCAAGTGCCAGCTCTGAACGCATCGCTCTCGACCAATCTGCGCTCTACGTCACTCCCTCATTCGTCAATGTCTCAAAACTGCGATCCATATCGCCACAGATAGGTGAATAAGCGAAATTTGGTCTGATCACTCAGAAGAGCTATACGGGGATAGAGATGTATATTTTACAGGAGATAGCGCTCAATTAGATCCTGTGGTACCAAGCTCACTAGCTACACCGCTGCAAAAGATCACAAACGACGTGCAACACCGTGGAAAGGAGATTTGGAATGGTATTGGGAATGTTTGTATGCTTACAAGTCCGCATAGAGGTAAACTCGACCCTAAATGCTTTAGTGCGCTTCGGCGATTGCGTGATAAAAACACCCACACAATCTGACATCGATCTGTTTTATACACTGTATTCAGGAGCCTTGATGGGTCCAACAAGCAAAAAAATATTGCATACATAAATGTGGATGTTGATTCTGTCATCGAGAAAAAAGTATTGTTGCTGCTCGTTCATCTATTGTAAATATCACTTCACAACACTTTGTTCAACAAAAACGACTTACCGTTAAGCGGACCATTCCACCAAAATTCATACAGGACGCCCAAACGCCCAATATTGAACATGACTGTATAGTATCAACTAAACTGAAATTGTGCATTTAAGCTCCTGTTACACTGGAATTTAGCATGGTTCAACAGGCCGGCCTCTGTAATGGGACAAATGCTAAAGTTTATGGTTTCATTTTTTCTCTGGTAGTGACCTGCGTCTCGTGCTTGTATAAATAACAGATCCATACATTGGACCTTCATGCCTAGACGGTGTATCAAACATGTTCCTATTGTCCCTAAAGACATTTTGTGGGGATAATCATCCAGCGACCTACGTGGGGTCAGACGTGGAATCCCTCTAAGTTAGCATACGCCATGACAGTTCATAAAGTACAAGGTCTAATATGCGACTATATCGTATCCCATTGCATTGCAATTCCAACTGATACATTTGCGTACGTAGCTCTTTCACGAATTAAGCATCGAAAATGTATATTTGTTACACATCCGTTGAATCTCGTAACGTTGACTACAATAATTCGCCAGTTAGCGCTATTTCAGGCAGAAATCAACGTGTTTCTATAGCGGTTGCTCAAACCCATAATGCTGCTTCGTCGACTGTGATCAAAATGAACGCGATGGCACTAGCACACAGTACGTACCATATACATCGATAAACTCTTTCAGTACGTGTTAATGCATCATTCCATTTGCTTTTTGACCTACATGGTAGACTTCTGATTCTAACATATTTTAAGTAGCCTTCTCACAAAGGACAGGTTTACTGGAATGGCAAATAATCATTAGGAGCCATGCAATGATCAGCCATACTTTGACTAAGTTACGGGTAAGAGCGATGTCCAAATAAAAAAGTAATGACTTTTTGACACCAACTTATTTCATAAAAAGAACATCCTTTAAAAGTCGGCGGGAGATTTCCCTGCTTATAAGTCAGTAAATAGGAGACAGCTTATTTTCAGAAGTCCTGGATTTGAAGAGGTTGAAGGTGATGGAAGCCACTTTGAACGACGCCACCGCCGCGATACCTGATCGTCCAGTAGAGCCTCCAGACACTGAAGAGACTACCATGGATGTCGACGAAGGCTATCTGAACGTGCAACGCCCCCTTGTTGTGGAAGAAGCTGCGCCGCAAGGTGAGATTTGACCCGTTGTGAGACTGCTGATACTGCTGACGTCAAGATGGGAGTTTCTGGCAACGTGAATGCATGAGATGCCAAAAAAGACATCGAAGACGATCTCATCGTAGCCCTCCTCCTGTTGTTCATCATGCTTGGTGCAACGTTTGGCACACTAGACTGGAGATCGCTTCGTGCTCCTCCTAGTGAAAGAATTGCAGTCAGATCGGACTTCTACGCAAAGTTAAAGGCGCAAAGATCGGCTAAGGCCTATCGCAAGACTCGTCGCTGTAAGCCAGACTCGTTTGATGCCCTTTGTCTGTTCTTGGAGCCATTGTACTACCGGAAGTACGGACTACCAGGGAAAAACTTGCAGTACACTTTTGACTGGGGACTTGTGGTCTTGTTAACCTACTACGGAAATGGATGCGGACAAGATGGTGATGGCATTGGAGGTGCTGCATCACAGCTTGGGATGTCTCGACCTGTGACAAGCCGCTACACAAAGCGACTCGAAAACCTATTATACGGAATGATGGACGACTTGATTTACTTTCCGTCTCCTTCCGAAGACGATGAATGGGAGTTATTGGTGGAGGGTTTTGCTGTAAGAGGTGCTGATTTGCCTGTATCCACCGGTTACCCATCCTCAAACACATCCAATGTTACTTCTATGATCTTCAGACTTCGGGATCCGGGTGAATCCATATAGAGCATTGTCGATCATACGTTGTTAGATCTGGGGAGCATTATTCAAGCCGAAGGGCATTCGATTCCATTCAAATAGGCCACAGGAGGTGATAAAAGCCGAGCTCCAACGAGCACGATCCGTCATTTTCACTACCCAAAATCCACTTGCCATATTCAAAAAACAATACCAGAGTGTCGACTCCAGATCTTCAAGTAAGTCGTTGATCAAGGGCATCGAATAGATCATCAGGTGAGTTAGACTGTTAACCAACCGGTAATCGATGCACAGCCTGATATCCACTCCGTTCTTCTTAATGAGCGCCACGATCGGGGAAGCCCACGGTGATCTAGAGTAATTAACCATCTTGGCAGATAAAAAACCCTTGATCAAGTCTGCCAGCTTATCCCTGAACTGGATCCGCAACTTATGACACTTCAGGGCGATAGGCCTCGCTCCTCCGACATCGATGTCGCATGCAACACCCCGGGCGGGCGGCAGCAGGGCATTATCTTTGCCGATCAAGTGGTGCCTGAACTTGCAGATCCTTTGGTGCATTCGATCAATTTCTTCTGGGGTCTGATTACCAGATTCACATAGCTGAATGTCCTCAATCTTCACATCTTCCGTCGTCACGGGCACTTCAGGCAGTCCCGCCATCTGACCATCGACATCTTCCGCGTACGGATCACTTCTTTCATGGTAGTATCCACATCCATCATAATCTTGATCTGAGTCCCGGGTGAGGTCCAGATCCGACGCGCCTGGTTGATCTTCAACAATAGGTGGTGGATCCATGTCCGGTGTTTTGGCGACATAGACGTGACACATTTGTCGTTCAACGGATCACTGGCCACATGTCCCTACACAGATTGTACACTCATCGTTGATGACGGATCTGATCCACCGTATTTCGAAGGTGATGTTCTTTGATCTTGACATCTCGAATGTAGTTGATTCTGGTTGGTGACCCCAATTTCATCTCGACCTTCTTCTTCTCACGTCTCCACTGCACTTGTAGTTTCTTCCGACGATGGATCAATCGTCCAGACGTCTGGCGTTATTTGATCGAGATCTTCCAGCACCTCCTTGACCGTTACGGTATGCGATATATAGTATCCATCTGCAATAGACGACAGATCCGACTCCTCACTTGCGACAGACGCTAGATCCAACGGTCGAATGTCCGACGCCGACTTATCCGACGGCGAGTTGTCCGAAGGTAAGCAGTCGGGAATATCTTGATCCTGACTCGCCTCGACCTTCCGACACTTGATCGATGTCGTCTTCGGCCTCTGGAGTATTGTGCGCGGAGTTTGATACTCGGCTCGCTCTACCGCGGGCTCCAGTGGGGCTTCAATCCCCATATCTTCGGATCGAGCGTCTGTCGTGCCTACTAACGCTAGATTCTGCCACTCTATGTAACGACGAGACCCGATCGAGATGAAACCTGGTAGTCGCGGCACATGATCCCCGGTCAGCCAGATCCCGATCCGCTGATCTTGATGCAGGATCAACACCTCGTTCCCGACGATGGTGAGCGAGGTGTACTTCGTCCTCCCTGGCCCATCGGATATTGTGGGCACCCATCGATCCCCGCGTGTGACCCACAGTTTGTCGTGGGTCGACTACCTCAGACGTAATGGCAGCTCCACCGACTATCTTGCTCGGATCCGAAGATATTGGTCGACATTCACGATCTTCGCCTTGTCACTATAGAGCTGGCGGCTTCCGCTAAGCCGGATCCGGACTTCATCGGCAAAGCTGATGGTTCCATGAGCTAGATCCAGGCGGATCCTGGCTGGGACCATGAAGTCCATACTAAGTATAGCTTGTTGGCCAGTCAGATCACCAACCCAGATCGAAGAAATATAGCAAGAGTCACCTTGATCTTCTGTCCGGTACACATTATCGCCAATTCCCACGCAGTCTTGGATCTGACTCGAGTCGATGTAGCACCCAACCTTACGAGCAAAGGTGGTGCCCACGATGGACACCTCGGCGCCGGTATCTAAGAGTAAGATCGATTTCTCATTGTGGATCTTGCCTGTGATCTTCGCTTGACGAAACCATTTTCCTGGAGAGTGGTGTTTCCAGTAACCACGAAACTCTCCCGGTAGTAGACCCTTGGTTGTTGGCCGTCGGTACTCCGAGATCTTGCTAGTCCTCTTGATCTCCGAAGTAACCTCGTGATCTGTGGGTTTAAACCATAGATCTGGGTCTTGCTGTCTTCAATATCCTCGTGACTCTCCCGGTTGGAGATCCACACTCATGTTGACTTCCGATCTGGCATACTTGTTGACTTGGCGAAGACTCGAAATTGCGAAGGAATGTTTCCCATGCAGATCACATGTATTACCGTGTAGATCTGGTCGTTTACTAACCTGATCTACCGATGTCTTGTTCACAAATGCATAAATGCGTATCTAGAACGCTCGGCTCGTATCGGGTTCCACCCCGACGAGCGTCCTAGTTTAACATCTTCTCAGCAGCTTCGGGTAACATACCCATGTGCTTCGTGGGGTTGCACCACTGGCGGATCTGGTTGTAGAACTCTTCCATCGGACATTTTTCCATGCCATGCAATTCTCCACATCCGCGACACACGAAGAGGCAGTGATCCGAGGGGTGTCCTCTCTTGCCACACTTCGTGCATGTAACACGCCTCCAGCAACCAAGATCCGAGTGCTTCCTGGATCCACAGTGCGAGCATCGGTCGCGGTTAAAACCATTATCGTGGATCTTCGAGTTGTGATGCTGATGGCCATGATCACGGTCCGGAAGTCGTGGATCCAGGTTCGTCGACTCCTTTTTCACCTTCCGGGTGACGTCTTCATTTGCTGCAAGGAAAATCCTGCGATGACTGTCGATATCAGAGTCGGTCGGATCCACCCGATCCGTCGGATTCGCAGTCGGATCCAGAGTCGTTAGTTTGGATCTGGATCGCCCGCACGTGCTTCGCTGGAGCGGAGGGGACCGTATTGGTTGGCTTTTGTCGGTGTTTACTGGATCCAAATGCAGCCTTCTTCTGACGAATCTTGGCGCGATCTCGGGCGCGAAGGACTTCTTTGAGATCATCCGCGTCGGTCAGCCGCAGCAGGGTTAACCGTTCTGCTAGATCTTGATCCTCAAGCGTCTCGATGTAATGGTCCACATGTTCACGTCGATCTTTCGCGCTGCCATCCTTGATTTTAAGTCACGTACGGAGCCCCGCCACGTTGAGACGATACAAGTAGTTCAGTGGTGATTCGTCAGATCTACGTCGCACATGGTAGTATTATCTTGCTACCGATACTCCAAGCCCACAGTACTGGATCTGAAAACCGCAAAGCAGCTCGCTTTCATTTGTTGCGAGTGGATCTACTCAGCTGGTGATACTAGTACCTGGCGGATCCTGCGAGAAGGTCTGCAAAGGCCAAGCACTTTTCGTCATCCGATGCTTGATCTCGCATAAACGCAGATTTCACTATGTTGATCCACGCCCGCGCTCGATCTTCGTCTTGATCCTTGCCAGAACTATTTGAGATCGGAGATCGATGAGATCCGAACACGCTGTATCATGGTGGAACTTGCCGATCCAGCAGCCGCGGTGGCCACTGTGGCTTGTGCAGACGTTGGAAAGTCTACATCGTCGGGATCGTACTCCCAGTGAGATCCACGGTCGGAGGATCGAATGGATTCCATCTCGACATCTTGTGCTCCTTGGTGCTGTGGCTGCGTAGTAGCTGGATCTTTGTTCGCCTCGCGTTCTTCGGCTAAGTATCGGTCCATTGCAGCATTGAAGAACTTCTTCAAGGTACCGACTGATCGATTTGAACTCTCAGTGGCTGTAGCTTGATCCGTTGGTGCGGTTCTATTATCACGGCGACTGCTTCTAGCTGGACTGGAGCGGCAGATCTTGAATCTCGCCTCCAGCATTGATTCCCCAGAGGGTTCTAGGGACATCTGTCGCGGTGGTTCCGAGGAGGTGTCAGATCCGTCTTCCGCGGCTGACGCATAATGTGATGACACTGTCAAGTTGTCGACAGCGTCGGTCGTGGTCGATGGCAGTGGATCTGGGCTCTGGGGCACCTCGCCGACTAGGAACTTCAATTTCTGAATCAGATCGGGACTGGTGGCTTGGATAACGTTGAGATCCAAGTCAAACAGTGCGTCTGTGTCGAAGGACCCAGGGGCCATACCGGCCTCTTTCAACAGGCCGATCACCTCCATCGCTGCATCAAATCTGTTGGCCAGTGTGACGGGGGCAGTTACAGGGTCCTTTGGATCCGCGATCCGCTTGAGCTTCAGGATCCGCATCACTGGATCCTGGACCACGAAGTCACGCAGCTCCTTGCGGTGATACACGGACTTCAAATCTTCTTCAGACCAGCCAGATTCGAGGTGATCTTCGTCTTCCTCGTCATCTGGCGCTTTCATTTTCTTACGCACAGTCTTGGATCTTGGCTTCCCAACCTCGGATCCAGAGATTGCGTGTCCTTGGGTAGATATAGTGTTGGTTTATCCGGATCAATGAATGAATACGGTTCAGTCTTCACCTTTGTTTGTTTTGTTAGCGGATCTGACGCGGGTCAGGATCCGCAGGAGCCTCCATGTCGGAGACTTGTGGAGGATGAGGTTTCTCTTCCAAATCTGGATCGGGATCCAGATCGGCCTCACTTCCGTCGACAGAAGAGTTCCTCTCCTGGCACTCTGCCGATCCGCAGATCTAGCGTTCAGCGATGTCGTCGTCGATCTGGCATCCGACGACATCTTGTTCCCTTGTTCAGTCTTCACTTGAACTTTATCTTGAGACTCACGGTGAAATCCCGAGTCACCAGAAGATCCGGGCACGCGCTGGAGCGGAATCAGCAAAATCGGCGAAGATGCTGGATCCGGCTTGCCACCGTGTCCAGATATTGACTATAGGAGGGGGTACTGCTGTTGATCCGTGATCAGCTGAACTTCCTCACCTTGGGTACCCGTCGGTAGGGCTGGATCTTGCTCCTCCGGTAACTGCAGGAGAGGTCCAAGTGTTGAAGATCTAGAATATCTTGGCGAGACGCATGGATGTAGTGAACATCGCGGAACGTCTTTCGCTCTGTTGCCAGGCAAGTTGATCCAGGGACCACGTGAGAAGTCGAACGTGGATCACCGGTGGTGGATCTTGGATCCGGCCGTGTGGGTTGCCTTGGTGTGTTGGTTTGGGTTGACCTTGCGATCCCTTTGAGTTGCTTGCAGTCTCCTATGACTGGATCTTGGGGAAGTTGAGAGATCGATGGATCACACGGCCAAGCACTAAATGCCGTGGATCCGGAGCTTGCACGTATAGAGTAAGTATTAGGTAGTTGTATCTGGCCAATATATTATCCAGTTTTCCGAAATACACTAAATACAATATTCCTAATACGAGATCACCTTGTAGGGTCGATGTATGCTCTGATCCGAGGCGTCCGCAATGCACTAAGTGTGGATCAAATAAAGGAATCAGCCACTTGTGCCCAATGTTGCAAATTCGATTCTCCGTTATTCCTAAGCCTTTGATCCTGATTTGTCATACCCTCTACTACCTGAATCCATGTACCTTCCTTCCCAACAGCCGCTTATCTTCGGATCTTGGCGTACACTGCAGATTACATACCTCGTTTACTTGATCCAAATTGGTCCCAAGTAATCATGTCTGGATCAGGTACAATCGTACCCAAATCAGGTGCCTATAATTAGGTCCATCCAGATTGGTCCAATTATCCCCGAATCAGTTGATCTGAGTCCATCCTACCTCTCAGATCTGGGTCCTTAGTAATTACCGTAGATCCGGGGTTGCTTGTCATTCCACACGATCCGGTCACTTC